TTTCCCTCGTGTGTTGCTCTATGCTTCACACGTAGTGGGATAGGTTTGCGGATCACATTGCCAGGATCAATACCTATATTTATATGTTATTCATTAGATGCATTACACATAATCAGTCCAAATAATTTTATCCCCTGATACTATATTCATTTGGATACATAGGAACAAACACAGAGTTTAGTCCGATTATAGTTAAAATTTGTATATTTTGAACCTAGATAAAATTTGAATTTGTTCAGTGAATCGATTCAATCAAGAAAGATATGTATTTTACATAGTTCCCTAATTTTTTAAAGTGGGTGCAATTTATCCTTACCGATATATCATAACCCCTATTTTGGAGAGTGGCATAGAAAGGCTTATAAGTCGTCCTTTCTGGCTGTGACATAAATATGACTTCAGGAAGTGACAGATCAATGGGAGACTGCATTCTTCCATTCTTGCATGCTGACCATTCTGGCTTCAAATCTCCCCATTTTTCTGGACCCTTTGGGCTTCCCTTTATATAATCAAATTCTCTATCATCCTCTGCACAAAAATGAGTCTAAAGAAATTGAAAAATAAAAATAAAAAAATGCGAACATGCATATACATATTCATCAATTCGTGTATGTATCTATGTTTGGAATGTGTTTCTTGCATTACCAGCTGCTTGAACATCGACTGATCATTTTGCACCAAACAAAAAAAGCAAGGCAAGAATTTAATCAAGAATATAAAAGCATTTGCTTGGACTCTTCATGGTTTCTTTTGTATATTTTTGATGAATCAACTATTGCAAGTGATGGACTAAGAGTTGTATTTATGGTTTTATATAAGAAGAATTGATTTTGAGACTTTTAAGAAAACCTTACCAACACTTTTAAGAATTCTTTTAACAAAATATTTGAAAAATTTCGGACTTTAACTAAATATTAACTTAAATTGTCAGCTTTAACCCTTTACTACAAAAAATAACATGTTGAAATTTAAATAGCACAGAGACGTACACGTATAAACATATTCAAGTATTCAACTATGCATGTTCATAAAATATTTCTTGCATTACCAACTTCTTGAGCATTTACTGAATTTGCGCCAAACAAAAAAAGCAACCCAAGAATTGAAGCAAGAACATAGGTGGATTTCTTCATTGGTTTTTTTCCCCGTTTTTTTGAAGAAACAATAATTGCAGGTGATGGACTGAAAATTCTTGATTTAGGTGATGGTTTTAGACTTCGTATCATGGGTTTATATAACAAGAATTGTGGGTATAAATTATTGGGTTTGGTAATGACGTGCTGGTGTGGGATTTCTCTTGATGTGAACTTAAAACTTACTATCATTTCCTCTTATTATTTTTATTTATAGATCATTATAAACGAGTAATCCGAGGCTAAATTTTGGACTACCCGTTTTATTGTTGTAATATCAATGGGGTCTTACCATACATATATTTGTTTTTACCTAACTTTATGATGTCCTTCAAACAAAATGAATAAACAGTAAATTATTAAAAAAAGGCCAACCACTACCTACGCGGGCAGCATTAGAACTATTTTTTGTAGTTTAGTGCCTTTTATTATAAGAAAATAACTTTAATAGTCATTGATGTAATTACTCATAATTACTCAAAATTTCAGTGACCATTAACGTAACTAACCCACTATTTTTGTATTTTAGTTTTGTAAGTGAAATCAATATCTATCTATAACATATTAAAAGTCGCTTGATGTGGAAATCATTTTTTGAATGATTATATCCCTACTATTTAAACTATTTCAATGATACTTTTAATTTTTGTTTTTGGACAAATGGTCAAACATTATCATGAATGATTTCCCCAATTTTCTTATTTATTACTATGAAAGTATATTTCAAAATTCATTCAACTTTATTTCCATTAAGTATCACTCAATTTAATTAATTTTAAATTAACTTAGATTCATGTTGTAGTACATTCCAAAATTCATTGAACTTTATTAACATCAAGTGGAATTCAATTTCATATTAAGGTTCATGTTCATGTATTTTATAGGAAGACACTTTCATTAACTCTCAATTAATTAGATGTAATTCTATCACAGTTTTATTCTACTTTGAAAGCTAAATTTTGAGAGATCAAGCATTAGAGAGAGAACAAGAGATAAGAGATAAGAATTCATCGCTACACAAAGATTGAAGACTATTTTCTTGGATTTTGGGCAAAGATGCAAAAGGATATTGTCAAAAGGAGTTGAAGACATTCATGGAATCAAGATTTTTCCTCTTTTTCTTTCTATATATTTAAAATTCGGGTGATATTTCATTAATGAAACATGGATTCGTGTAATTTTGTAATACTCATCTAACTTTAAGTCACTAGGACGTAAACGAACCATTTATTATGAAAAATTAATGTAAATTTCGAGACTTTAAGAAAACCTTACCAAAACTTTTAAGAATTCTTTTAACAAGATATTAACTTAAATTATCAGCTTTAACCTCTTTACTACAAAAAATAATATGTTGAAATTTAAATAGCATACTGTTCGAATTTAAGTTAAATTGCTTTTCAGAAATTAAATATTGAATTTATAACGTTTAATTAAATTTATAATACAATGTTTCATGTCCTACTTTTTTTTTTTTTTTTGGAGTTTTATTTTGATTTGAAGTAAAAAACGGTGGCTGAAAGAAAAGAAGAAGAAAACAGACAAGAAAGAAGAGAAAAAGAAATAAAAGAAGGAGAAAGAGACAGCAAAGAAGAGAAAAAGGAAGAAGAAAAGGTCAAAAAATTACGGCGATTGGACATGCAGAGATATATACACGCATACAGACAGAAGGAGGAGAAAAGAAGGGACGGCTGCTATTGATATATATACACACACAAAAAACATGCAGGAAGGAAAGAAACGAGAAAAAAAAGATTAATTCTTTTCTACATCTTTATTCAAAGAATTTGGTGATGTAAGAGATAAGAAAGAAGAAAAAAGGACAGAAAAGAAGAGAAAAAGTCAAAAAACTACGGCGACTGGGCATGTAGAGATATATACACGCATACTGACAGAAAGAAGAGAAAAGAAGGGACGACTGCTGTTGATATATATACACACACACACACACACACACACACACAAAACATGCAGGAAGGAAAGAAATGAGGAAAAAAAGATAAAATTATTTTCTACATTTTTATTCAAAGAATTCGGTGATGTATTTAAAGACCATTCCTTATGTTTATTTTTATATATTTTTTTTTTAAATAAAGGAAAGAGGTACTTCCGAAATTTTATTAATATGCTCTCACCTGTGGCGGAGGAATACTGTGGTTACATGAAAATAATAAGAGCAGTAAATAAGGAAGTACTACTTCCCTTACAATAAAAGTAAATGATGAAAAATAAAGCAGTAAATAAGAAAGAACTACTTCCTATACGGTAGGAATTAATGTAAAAAAAAAAAAAGAGGATTGAAAGTTAAAATAAAATTCAAACTCTGATACTCGGCAATTCATGTCTGTCAACTTGTACTAGTATCCTAATATATCGTGGTAGATCAAGTGGTCCATATCCCTGATATCGTCAATGATCCCAACCCTCAACAACAAGAACATTTGCAACCTGGTTTCCTTCTCTGTAAATGTGGGAGACTGTATCTCTGTCGAATGATATGATGCCTGTGATACGTCTAAGTATGCCATGAATAGTCCATGGTCCTCCTCCTCTAGTGATACAGTAAATAGCAACTGTAGAATCTGACTCAACCCAATCGCTGAATAATCTAGTTCTTGAGCAAGTAAAATCCCATCAAGAATAGCCCGGAGCTNAGCCCCGTGGTCATCCCCCTCTAGTGATGCAATGAATAGCTACTGTAGAATCAGACTCTACCCAAAGCGGTGAAAACCCCAGTCCATGAGCTAGTAAAATCCCATCAAGAATAGCCCGGAGCTCTGTCTCTAATATCATGCATGGTCCATAAGAAGTTGAGAAAGCTCTGATGCAGTGTCCTGCGTGATCTTTGATGATGCATCTCCTACGCGCCACCAAACCAGAATAGGGGGAGATAGGGAAAGGGGGGTCCACAAAAATACCAAATATGGGTGCAATTGTCGAATCCCCTTGCCAGTGCACCACTTGAAACAGTCATCCTATATGAAGAAAATAGATTATGTGATAGACCCTTCAAATGATACGTCTGGCTGTCATGCAAATCCCCCTATGATTCGCATCATTTCTCGCAGTCCATAGATACCAAAATATCACTAGAGGAATAATAATGCGAATGTGTCCACAACGAACATACTGTCCAGAATACCTCCATCTCTTGAATGTCTGTCGACTCCCTCTTCTGAACTCATAGGTATCTAGGTATCTGGAAAATATTCTCAAAAATGTTGCCATACCCGATTTGAGATGTTACTGCCAGTGAAAATATGACTGATAGTCTCAGTCTCAGAACAATACTGGTAACAAGAAACCTATCGGCATCCAATCCTTTCCTGAATAACCACATTTACTGGAATGTGGCCTTACCATAGTCTCTAGCAGAAAAATGAAAATAGTGACGAGTAAAATGGAGCTCTATAGTAACCGGTACGAATCCTGATACTGGCATCCCGAACATACGAGCTGCCTGCTGACTTGGTAACAAAGCTACCATCCGATGTATTCCGCCAAAAAATTCAATTTGGGGCCTCTGCACATAAAGGTATAACCCCTATCTGATTCACCATAAGAGGAGTGAGAACCTGTAATAAACGTCCAATATCCCACCCAGTATCATCATAGAAATCCTGTATCAAAAGAAAATGGATGCCATGTGTAGCGCCCCGAGATCTATTAACCCGGATTGCCACGTCATCGTCTTTTGCCCTAATTTGTCAATCAATTTTGAGGAAATAACCT